TATATATATATATATATATATATATATTTAATCCGTTTAAAATTTGATTTTGTTTCGTAATAAATATTGTTCGAAGCGTACAAATCGTTAGACTGGACAACTTTCTGCGAACAGCACCACTTTGCCTTCTCAACCTTTCTTTAATGTCCTAAGCGTTTTCGTTGTCCTTACGACCAAACTAAATTTATTACGCTTTTACGTAAAATGCTAAACGATGCTCGTGATGCATCGGCGTTTCGCATTTAGGTCTGTTTTTATGCAGCCATCGCGTGCGTTATGAAAACACAAGCCATAATGCGACCGATCGAGCGCAAAATGGAATTAATTGAACGAAGAACAGACTATATTACACGATTCATCTATCAAGAAGATAACACAAACCAGGACGCCCTAAACTCATCAACGTTTGTATGGAAGAGGCTCCATCGTACGCATGCAAAGGAAACCTAAATAATTCATCGACTACAATTCCAAGCACCAGAACATCGTGACAACAGCGAATCCACTTAGAACAACTCCATAAGAAGCTTTCCTCCACGCGGTGGAGTGACTGGTCATGTTGCAACAATTATTCATCGTCTCTTTAAGAATCATCGGATAATATTCGTTCCAGAAAGCCAGCGCTTTGTAATCAATAACATTGGAATCGCTCATATCGAGGTTCCTATCGATGATTAAGATTCCAGGATCTTCTTCGGTGTACGATTCCCATTTAACAATTCCTGGATTGCCATTCTTGGCGAAATTACCCAGCATCCCCATTACTACCTCGGCCATTTTCTTATCGGCGAAATTCCATTGAACAGGGCTGTTAGTCATTTGGGGAAGTCCCCAGAAAAATGGAAGCTCAAACATGTGTGGAACCCCGGCCCATTCAGGCACATCCTTGATGACAGACTGAGTCTTGGACCTGTAGTCAAACCTGTAAACATACGCCAGCTTTTCCTTGGACACCTTACCAGCCAACAGAGTGAGCCCAGCTGCGTATTTCTTCTCCGTTTGCAGATCCAAGTACCTGTCCCGAAGGTTACCTTGATCCTTGCTCGGCGGATGAGGCTTGTAAAAGAACAGCACCGCCTCGGCGACCATTTCTGGTTTCAGTTCGCAGGTACTGTTATCTTCCTGGACCAATGATACAAACTCGTCAGTGATCATCATCTCGAAATTTCTATAAGAAAGCTTTCCATCCAAGTCCCCCTTGTCTAGGGACTCTATATAGGCCAACGCCTGTTCATTATTGGTGTAACCGACGATTAAAGGAACGGAGTTCAAAGTGCCACTGTCTAATATGTCTTTTGGATGCATAGGTAGAAACGGTTCCGTGGAGTTGTTTGTCTCGTAGTCAACGATGGGACCCCAGGTTTCGATAGAGGAAGTTAGATCGACCAAGGCGGTCACGTTTACTCGACGAAGACACTCCATCAGCGCTGACGTTGGTCGTCGATAACAACCAAACGTATCGGTGACGATGTCGACCACTGGTAATTCATTTTGAGGCGAGCCAACCGAGCTCACCGCGTCTCCGCTCATGGCGATGGCTTTGGAGAATTTACCTCTGCTCAGAGGACTCACCAGGTGTAAGCCCACACTTATAGCACCGGAGCTGTGGCCGTAGATCACCACGTTGTATGGAGAACCTCCGAAATGCTGGATCTTCTTCTGGATCCAATCCAGAGACGCTATCTGATCGAACATCCCGTAATTCCCTGGAGCCTCCGAATCCATGGTCGTGAAGAAGCCCAGGATATTGAGACGATACGCCACAGTGACCACCATAATCTGAGGAGAAGATGATCGATTAAATCAGTTAGCGTGTTAGAACTAGAGATTCTAAAGAGTTTTTTCTTTGAGAAATTGAGAGCGAGAGGCAATATTGTTAAACGGATAGGCTAAGAGTTTTCGAAGTTACATGTTCCTTCTTAGAGGGGTTAGGATCGTTTAACTGCGAGAGATTGCAGTCTGTATTTTCTGAACCAGTGTTTTCCCCGTTTTTTTTTTTCTTTTTCTGTTTTTTCGACTTTCTGTAGATCAGATTTTTGAAGAAAAGAAAAGGAGCTTCGAAAGAGAGAGCGAGAGAGTGAGAGTGAGAGAAAGAGAGAGAGAGGTTAGGAATGCGTGGACGTTACGTTACGAATTAACCTATACGATTCATTCTGCTTTGAACAGTATGTTAGATAGGGAAATGTTTATAAGGTAGACTATTAATATTGTCTATATAAGATTTTCTATTATAACGTCGTTTTTACATTGCTTTGTAAGACTATAAATGAATTAGTAGTGGTTAGAAGTTCTTAACGATATAGTTAGATCACACGAGGTCCCTTGTATTACTGTATAATACATCGTTGTACGTTTCTATAACAATTTTTAAGAATCGTTAAACGTGTTCCCTCGATAACGAATTCCCGCGTTAAAATAACATTTTCCGTGGCCGTTGTTTCTGGATTAGCATTTACAGCGTAACCTAACATATGCATCATGGATGAACCCGTTGGCCGGTGCGATTCCAAAGGTCGAATTTACCTTTGTATATCTAAAGCGCACGAAGAAACACCCTAATTTCCTTCGATTTTCTGTCGACTTTTAACATTCACTCGGATTAATTCGCAATCTGCGATTCTTTTCTACAATATGTACAGGATATAAGGTCAGAGCATCGCTTGCCAATCACAAGACGTCCTTCCAATGTAAAAATAATAAAACCTAGGCTTGTTAAAAAATAATATCTGAAAAAAAATTGTAAAAAAGAACACACACACACACACATTTAAATTTTCGTCCCATTTACAACTTAGTTTTCTATCCTTTATTGTTAGATAATTGAAACACCCTGTACATGTAATTTCATAATAATTGTTACATATGTTTATATGGTCATTTTTGAAATCCAGGTTATGTAGCGGATGAAATATTGTAATTTTGGAATTTTTAGAATCTAATATATTTGTTGAGTAACTCACTTTCTGTCTGCTGACGAAAATTGAGGCATTCCATATGGCTGGGGTGCCAGTGTTGAAATCACCACCATGAAACCACACCATCACTGGCCATCCATCGCTTGGTTTGTTCCCTACGAAAATTTAATTCCATATACATAGTATAGCATATTTACACCGTGATATGATTTAATTATTTAAATGATAACGATCAACGATAATGATTCGTATTTTGAAACTTCTGTATAATTTCAAATTAAAAGAACTTAATACGTTTCCCATTCAATTATTTTTTTTATCATAGACCATAGTTATTTTTATTGTTTGCTATTTTTTAAGGCAGAATTAAAGTAGGGAGTAGAGGAAGCAACAAATGTTAAAAATTTGATTAACGTCATTTTTTGGCTGGAATTCGAGCAGTTACTGAGGCTGCATTCGTAAATTCCAAAGATCGCAAAGAACACGTGCGTTCTCGCAAGTATGCATCCGGTCAAACCGGTGAATCGATCGCGACAAAATTTGCATACCATCATTCTTCGCCGCTGATGAGTACTGAACGCCTCGGAATAACCAAATTCCCAAAAATGAAAAACACTGATATTATTATTACTATTATCGTCATCATCACCATCATTGTAAATTCAAAACTTAAAAAATCTTAGTAAAAGTATAAATGTTTGGAGATGCAAGGAATTCAATGATTAGACAATAAAATGAACAATAAATTTACGTAAAATACATATGTATACGGTAATAATGTTAGGGGTATGATTGAACGTATTAAAAGTCTCCTTACTGAATTAATTAATAAAGATTCGATGAATATTGAAATACCCTACGTAATGCTTAAAGAACAAATCATTGAACAAATTCATATCTTATAGATAATTTTGCTCTTCTAATTGAGAATTATGATAAATTTCCTAAATCAATACACCTTAGACTCTAAACGAACGATCCAGAAATTCCAGAAGAGTTCCTGTATTATTTAATACCAATATCCATAATGCATTTAATAATTATAAAATTAAATTATATTAAGTTGCTTAAATTAATTAAAGGCATATAAAAAGATTAACTATAATAACTATAAAAATAAATTATAATAGATCTCCTATATCAATATATTCCATATCAAAGAATTATCTGTCTCAATATCGATAACTTCCAAATATCCAGGGAAAATAGCCACAATTCACGAATAACTACGAAGTCCATTTAAATGTTATTCAGCGGAAAAGTTACAAAAACCTCCATGAAAAGGTTGGATCAAAAGCACTAAGACCATCTGGTCTGGGTTACCGTTTGAATAATTAATTTCGGTGATTTCTTTCGAGGGGCTATGTAACGTGTAGCGTGTGGCCGGTTTTTGAAGCGTGCCAAGGTCGAGGAAAATTCAGGCCATTGCTCGGCAGGATGCTTTAGATGGCGCGATAAGCGTAAGCAGACGATAGAAGCATATAGGTTCGGTAACCGGAAGTTCGGCCTGGTCTTCGTTATCGGTACCTTCTGTCATGGCGTCTGAACCATCCAAAAATAACCATTCACGGGGATACGGAAGTGCCACAACGATTCATTAAACGACTATCGTGATTGCACACGGCACGAATCTTTTCCAAGTTCGTATGTGGTTGATTAGTTCAAATAGAAGAATTGATTTCTGGTTTTTGACGCGTTTGAAACAGGTCAGGATAAGAGGGATGCTTCGTAAAGCTGCATCTGGAACCAGTTTAGTTGATCATCAAATTTTCACGTATGAAATGTTAGAGATGAGGTGAGTATAATAAAGTTTGAAGATACTAAAAACACTTGTGTACTTTCATTAAGTTTGGCATATTTTATGAATCTACATCTGAAACTAGTTTGTTTACTAGAGGTTAGGTGCACTAATAAGAGGAATAGTAAGATTTGAAAAGATTGTATTGTAAAACATTTACATACATTAAGTTTGGATTTGATTAAAAATGTATTAGTTGATTTAAGCAAATTTGTTCATTAAACTTTGATGTACTAAATGTCAGGACTATGTGAAGTAATAAAAAATGCAGCAAGGTTTGAAGATATGATATTACAAATATTTTTATAAGTACATCAAATTTGTTAAAAGGTTAAGCATAAAGGATGACAAATGGGGTGAAAGAAGAAATAAAATCTATGATCAAACTAGAGATATTGAACTGTGAACTGTCTTTATTGAATGAAAAAATGCAATATAAGAAATTAAAATGTTCAATTTATCGAATTACAACTATATAGTTGTCTTTAAGCTTAAGGAGAACCTAGGAGATTCAATAAGTTCATTATATAAGTCAGGTTTAAAAATAAAGACAAGTTATATCATAGATACTTATTACAAACCTTTTTATCTATGAAGTTTAATCAAGTAGTTAAACATACTAGGGACCTTCAAGTGCTATCTAATCATACATAAAACCAAACCTACCCTTAATATAATGTTTCATCTAAAAAGTTCGTTAAAAGGTCTCAGTAGAGAGGAACTAATAAATAAAATTTAACCAAGGTTATACTTAAAAAGTTGCCTACAGTTCTTTAATGTATAAAAAGCTTTATTTTCCTAAGATACCTGAGACAAACTTTCTTCAAGAAAATGCTTAAAAATCTTAATGACAATCAAGCAAAGAATGACAATTGGGGAGATTTGAGGATGGTGGTGGGGCAAGGGGTAGCCAGGACGGAGGTGGTTTCGTGACCGGCCTCAGCAGTATCTTAACATCTCGACTAACCCTAAAAGATCGCGTGCCACGACGTGCACCAGTTACTGTTACTCTTGCTCCTTGCTGTTTCTATATCGACCGGGGTTGACTTTGCGGGATCGACACGATTTCCCGATTCGCCGGCTGTCCCCTATCCTATTTTTTCCCTTTTCGAGTCGACCACCGTGACACGCGTACCTTGCACGCGTTCATTTCTTTTTAAACTTTCTACAAGGTGATTCGAAACTTTTACGATATCCCTGCTATTTCCGGTCTATATGATAGTCGAAGTGGATGTTATATTTCAATAGAGATTTTTTCTTCGCTGGTTTTTATGCAAATTGATACGTTTATAAATCTAATAAAACAAATGGAATCTAAAAGGGAGATCTATTTCGTCCTACTTTGGATATTTTCTATATTTCTCCATACTATGTGTATTTTGCGCGTTTTTAAATTTTCTATAAATGCATGAAAATCCAAATATAATATTATTACCTCTTGTGTATAAAATATTTGAAAAGAAATATACCTAAAAAGAAATAAATGCTCTATTCGACTGCATTCCTTGAAATTAAGGACGAAGGGTTGTATCATCCCGTTGCTTAAAACCATTTTTGTCCATGTGGTCCCAATTTATTTTTGGTTAGGAGATGCAATCGTTTTAGGTTATAATCACGTGGTTCCATAATGTTTTTTTGAGACGATCGCCATATTGAATACTACAATCACCTCTGAATCCACAAGTTAATATTTTAGATCGATTATATACTATGCGATTGTAGATTTTAGTATTTTATAAAAGCTCCCAGGAGAACGAAATATTTTAGGAAATTTCAGAACTTAATAAGCAAATATTCATTGAGATCGTTCGACTCGTCCTGTATAGTATCATGTAACCCGGAACTGACCATAAGACAGATCTTCAGATAGATGGCAATTTCTTCTGTTGCAAGAAAACGGTTGTACATTTCATTCTGTTAATCTGAATTCACCTTTTCATGGAGCCATGAATTTTCCACGTTTTTCACAATAATTCACACTGCTATGAACCTGAAATTGTTTTCTAACATTATCTTTGCCCATCTCAGAATTTTCAAAGTAATCAGCCCTAGAGATCTAGACAGGATTTAATACGTTTCTAACCTCTCCATCTCGTCCATAGAAAGAATGAAATATTTTGCAAATTGGCAATAATTGCTATCATAAACCTGTCCTGTATGATTGATCGGTTTCATTTATCGTTTCACATACGTGTTTCTCTTCCATTAACTATCTTGCATACCAATCTCCGAATCCTTGTTTTCTCTACTACGTTATATAATCTTGTCCTTATCTTTTCGATATTGTGACTATTTTCATTTTTTTATTTTTTTTTTTTTTTAAATGCTTCATGAAAATTTCATGGCGCAACTATGTAAGCTAGAAAGAGGCCACAAGCAACGTCCTCGACCTATATCGAACATTTATAAAATTGGCGACATGGTAATCAATCTCATGACTAGAGGTTTATCAAGGGTTTTCCTCAACTAAAATTATAGCGTTCACGTTTTCCATCCTAATAGCCGCTTGTTTTACCAGTGTATTAGGCTAATCTCGATAATCGTTGCGCAAGAAGCGTGTAATTTGTCATCTAGACTGTAATCTATACCAAGTAGGTATCATTGAAATCAGAAACATAACCTCCATCTGTATCGCGCTTAATCCTCTATACTTGTTGAAATCTTAAGTCCTGAAAAAGAAATTACACAAGTTTTCCAACTGGTTAAACGGAGAGGTCTGGCAATTACGCGGTTTCGCGACTTTTCTCAATTTTCAGTATTCTGGACTCTAACCTCTTTTTACGGAACAAGGAAAAAATTTAAAGAATTTCATTTCCTTTCACTTTAGTCCGCTTAACGTTCGAAATTTATCAAAAGGGTTAGATTAGATTTTGTTCAGGTTTGAGGTTAGTTCGGTGTGCTTCTTTTCAGGGTTACATTGGGCTTAGGTCTGCTAACCTTTCTAACGATGAAAATAATTTAACCTTCGATCGTTCGGACAGAAATTATCACGATAATTGACTTATTTCCAATTTTTATTTATAATTGATTAATTTTCTATCTCACGTGACAAAGATGACTGACAATTTTTACAATACTGCTACTAATACTAGTTTAAAGGAAAAATCTCTTCCTATGCGTATTGGCATAGCGTCTCTTGATCGACGCTAAAAGGAGAGGTTAGGTTACAGGACAAACCTTGGGAAATCTTTTCTTCCTTTCGCGATTTACGAGCGCTATGATGCACGAGACATCCGAAATTAGCTGAAAATGATGCTCGTAATGCCGCTATTATCCTAGTCCTTAACCGACATCCTGAAACTACCAAATTTACGTACCATTGACACGCAGCTGCCCGCATTTATTGTCAATCGAGAAATTGCTCGATAAGTCAGAGCCTATGTTCTACGTAAAAATATATAGACTGTTTTACATAAAATATATAAGCAAAAATTGCAGCAATTATTCGATCAATATATTGTGAATTATGAGTAGACACGTATATATTTTCTGAACGAGTTGTAGACCTATATTGGTGAATAGATAGAGTTAGGAATGGGGGTAATGGTGACCTTGAATATTGACAAGCTGATTTTCAGCAGGTCATACATGAACTATAAAACATTTATAAAGACTCCACACCAAGTTTTCGATATCTTCGCTCTGCTTTCTTCAATTAAAAACCTTTGAACTTTAAAACTTGGAAACTCTTCCTGGTAATCGTAAACTGATTTTTTCAACATTTTGTAAATTAAATAGAAAGTAAATCCCAAATAACGTTCGACGGTTTTCGTAATTTGTGAACAAAAATTTCTTCAGCTTGCTAATAGAGAAATTACTTTTTGCAGAGAGTCTATACACCATAGTATACACGGTGGAGGAAAATTAAGTCGTCAAAGTGCAACTCCGCAATTGAAGCATTTTGAAAAACGTCGCAGAAAGCTATTTGCCAATCAGCATCTAACCTGAAAGCACATAAGCTCGAACAAGTAGGTAGTTTACACGAGTCTAATTTCCTTACTGTACAACTGAAACTGTAGAACGGCTCTTTAAACGAAACTATCGGCGTGCATACAGCGTTATTAATCGTTCACGCGTTGCTTAAAAAAGAAACAAAACGAGGAAAAAGAAGCTAAACCTCGTCGATACACGACGACGTTCTAATCGTGGGTTTTTTTTTCATGACGAGATAACCATCGAGTCACACCACCTCGTTACACGATATGTCGTCAAAGACGAAGAAACGAGCCACTGATCATCGTCGTTCGCGTGTTAGCAAAAAAGTTCACCTTTTGTTCCTACGAGAGCAAACGATTCACGTGTCGAGTATCGAAAGTTTCATCAGTTCCAACTGGAATTACCGATTACGTTATTTGTGTTTAGTAACGGGATCTTAGATATTTCGAATCTGCGTCGCTTTTGAACAACTTTTGCTTTTTTCTCGAGAGAAACAGAAATATCGTAATTAAAAATGCCACTGCTGGATATAATTCGTTACAGTTTCGATATGATGAATAGAATATTCATTTATCGAGTCGTTGCTACTTTCGAAATCCTGACACGCTTCAAAGTTTCGAGCGGGCGCGTATGTATGACAAAAAATTTGGAGCTTAAAACTCTCGATAGATCTTGAGAGAGTCTCGTACGAGTGTTTCTAAATTTAGACGTTTTCCCATTTTAATTCGTTTTTGTCTCGCTTTCTAATTTTAACTTTCCATGTCCTTGGAAGAAAAGGAACTGGAAAGCAGGAAAAAGATTCAATTTATTTTTATATCTTACTCTCTAACATCTTTAAAATTGTCTTCGCACGTTTTAATTCATTTTTATGCTGCCTTTTTGTTAATTTTCCTGTCATTAAAAAATGTAATTACAAAGTGCAGAAAACGTGTCTTCCACGTTTCATATGTTTTTATATATCTGTCTTCTCTCGTATTAACTTTTCTCTACCTTTAAAGGAATTAATTGCGAACTGCAGACAAATCTGTCTCCCACGTTTCGTTTCGTTTTCTAGCTGTTCGTCTCGTATTCATTTTTCTATCCTCGAGAAGATTAAAAAAAAAAAAAAAAACGGATAAATGAAAAACAAATTCTCGCATTACCGATCCGGTCATAATTTTACTTACCGTCTGGGGAAAAGATGTTCAAGTACAAACAATCCTCGCTAACTCCAGGATCGGGTTGCTCAACCGGTAGCAATCTTTTGTAGTGTTGTTCGTGAAGTTTCGGCTTGTCGGTCATTTGTTGACAGGACGGTGCAAATTTTGTTGCGTTTCGCACGCCGCTCCACGATGGTAGGGGGTCGGTAACAGGCGCAGCAAAACGTAATTTCCCCAACGGTGGCTGGGCATAAGGAATTCCCAGATATTCTACCACCTTTATCGAATTTACAGTGACCTGTAAAGTAGAAGAAAGACGATCGTCCTATAATTGTTTGCTCACGGATAAAAGTGGATACTCGAAAGGTCTTAAGAATTAGCTAGCTCATCGTTATTTTATGTTTGCAGGTTAAATATTGGAAAATTTGCAAAGTAAATTTGCAAAGCTAGAAAGATCATGGAGACCAGGGAAATAAAAACGAAATTATGAAAATTGAAAACTTAAGATACTACTATGTCTCGTTGCTGGAGCTGGAATAGTGAAATTTGTTGAAGATTAAAAGAAGATTAAAAAAAAAGGTGGAAGGATCGCAAAAATGTAGACATCAGGAAAATTAGGAAAATTATGGTATCATAGTGTTGAACGTTTCTGCCTTAAATTTCATCTTGTTACGCATATTACAAAATTTAATACAAAATTTAAGCGCAACGTAGAAATTGAAAAAATGAAAAAAGAAAAAGGAATAGAAAGATACGAGAATTGGAAAGTGGACAAATTAAAATGTACCGCTACGTAGAATCCTCGCTTCGATCGATATTTTCTGGCAAAAGGAATATTCCAGATATTACACTCTCAATGTCAAATAATTTTATCGTAAATGTGGACGGAATTTCGTGTTATTCACTGGCATTACGATTTCTGAGGAAAACGTCTAATCGACGGCGTCATTTCTCGATGAAACACGAATTTACGTGTGACAAATTACTCTTCCACGTACAGCCAGGTATAGTAATCAAAAATTGGCTGGGCCCGAATCATAGTTTCGAAACTCATGAGGTTTCATTATTAGCATTAGGTTCCAGTACAACGTAACGCTGGTACATTTTTTTTTCATGGACAATTAAAGTTACATTACTCATATTTCACCTAACTTCTCGTGATTTTCATCTAACTACGCTGCCACATTTTATCGCGTGAAGAAAAATGGCAGGGAACGGAACTTTTTAAAGAGAATCCTTTCCTCGCTTTAATCTCGATGTTTCGCTTGTAAAAATACCAACGTAATTCCACTTACTATGCCATAGCTTCTCCTATTATAACTTTTTCCACGCAGAATACTTTCTTTTGCATATAGAAATTGTTTTACGTTTCAAATTAATAAATGGCGAGTTTAGAAATTGAAATTGAGTATTGCCAGAATGTCGGACATAGTCAAAGATAAATGAAGGATATTCGAAACGCGATGCTTTTTACGCTACTCGATGGATAAAACAGTTTTCCACGTTTTTAAATCAAAATTCATAAAAATGTAAACTCGCGTAAATATCCGCGGTCTAATAATAATTTTTACATTTAGTTCGATCGAATACAACAAACAATTTCGCCTGATCTTTCGCAATTGTAAATTTGATGGTAAATTTCGCTTTTAGATTAACAAAGAAAAATGTGGGACACTAATTGGAATATCCGATTACCGGAAACAACTACCAGTTTCCAAGAAGAACATGAAAAAACATGATTATGCATGAGAGCCAGGTACGTGCGGTAAGTTCTTTGAACTTTTTGTTAAAATTCCGTGGTTGCAAGAATTTCGCGAGAACGAAGAGAAAAAGGAGAGAGAAAAAAAGAGAAAAAATGCTAGCGGTATAGTATTAAAATTCATAAATGTTGGCCCAGTTTATACATTCATCGCGCATATTATCTGCATATACTTAACTGTAACAATTGAAAGTTACAGTGCTTGCATGTTATTGTTCGTCACACGTTTAAAATGTCAAATATTTATTCAGAGGCAGCTTTGAGGTTAGGTTCAACGTTTACATACGGGACAGTGATATATTCGTTTCTGCCACTGTATTTCTTTCTGCTTATGCAAGAAAACGATATTACTAGAGAAAAATGTAACGATAGTACGAGGACAAGCAAACGAGGATCATCCGAACGTGTACCCAGATAACGTTGCACCACTTTGCCATTCTGTAATTTTATGTAACAAAGGAAGTACGAACACAGAGTGAAGATCTCGCTTGAAGTTGCCTCTAAAGATCTTGATCATTTGTCAAATACTCGTAGGCGAAAAAAAAAAGTTAAATTTACTATTTTTTAGGCCTAATTTTTCCAGGATTCCAGGATTGCTCTTCTTGTATCAATTCTACGTTTTCTTCAATTCTATGTGTATAATTTTACATGTATTCTACACTTGTCTATATGTACAATTCCATGTCACTGTTTTATAAAATTATAAAATGAAAGAGAAAGTGAAAGGAAGATGAGAAATCAAAATAGCATTAAAATTAATAACAGCAAAGACAAATAAAATTCAATCAGGACATTTTCAATGCTTGAAAATACCAGCAATGACGTAACTTACTTGTTACGAAACTGAGACTAAAAAGCGAAAGGATAGGAGATCTGGAAATAAAAGAATTATTTTGTTCGAACGACGAGTTGAGAAATTCGAATGTGAAAGGGCCAAAGGGGCGACAAATCGCCTCTATGCGATCTAACAGGTTAAACTTCCGCATCGCAAAGAGCGAATGCCCGAAAACCGCCTCACAATAAAACTTTCCGTTTGATTGCCTAGCAACCTGCGAAACACGTCGACTCGATTCATTCGCATTATATATATTTTTCGTCTAAATTGTGTGTCTATGTGTAGAACTAAGTTAAGAAACGACGATAAAAATGTTGAATTTTCTCTTACAATTAATTTAAAGCTATCACTTTATACGTTGATACCGAGAAGATTTTGAAGAAAATAGCCCAAGGTATTTTTAAAGCGTACAAATATTTGGTACATTTATAATGTATCAAATATGTTGTAATAATAAATTGTAATAATAAAATTCCATCAAACATACTTCTCTATTATATATTATATATATTTGTCTTCTTTATTCTATTGGATAAACGACACATTCTAGACACACTTTTGCTACCATTTTACAAAATTGATCAACTCACCTACCTGTCTCTACCTTCTCCATTTTCTTAGATCAAAAACCCTAGACGTACAATGGCTCAAGAAAATATTCGAATATTCCTAGAAACTTCTTAGGTATACGTTATACGAAGCATTTTGTATATATATAGCTATATTTTGTATATATAATAGTATATATATATATCTATAGCTACGAGCAACGACGATTGTGATTATATCGGTGAAACTTGAGACGGATCTGAAAACGTATCTAGAAGTCACGAGACGTTCGTTGCAAACATACACCTCGCAAAGGTCGCCAAAGGATCTGAACGGTCAATTATTCGCTATACTAATAGCCGTGATATTTAGCGAGCCCACTCGTGCCTCTAATTGCTTGCTTAAGACGAGGTATTATCTCGTACCAATGTTTCATCAAACGTATCTTTCCAATAAATAACTTGCTGTAACTTGTCTGAGTGAAAGACATTTTAAGAAACGCTTTCGATCCATTTCCAATTTCCAATTTCAAAAATGCCCCGGTAACGCCTTAAAGTCGCCCCTTAAGATGTCGTAACGTTCGTCGAAATTTTCCATGGTTAACGTTCGAATTATCTGGTTGGCAACTAAGTGATTGCGGACTTTGTCATTAGGTGGTATTGACAAAAGCCGCAATCACTTAATTACCAACCCAATACCTTGAAGAGCCGGTGTACGGTAACGTTGCTAGCGAGTACGTTAAATTATCTGTATGAGCGTACATCGATGGCCAGAAGAAAGTTGAAAGAGCGATAAAACGAAGCTGAAACGCTGTAATTTTGCAAAGGTTGAATTACGATTGACAAGAAAATTTCAAACGCGTAACATGATCCCGTGCCTGGGAACAGACGAGTGTTTGGTATACGCGAAAAACGTCTCGCGCGGATTTTTCTATTTTCCATGCCAGAAATATACAAAAAAACGTAAGAAACAAGTATCAACTTGAAACTTTCTTTCGACCATCGCTACTATGTCTAAATGACGATAAAATCGTGTCGCACCTCCTTGCCAGCTACCGATCCTTGGCCTGAGATCCTGACGATTGGCTGTTCTCGACCTAGACCCTGTCTAACCGGGATCCTCTGGCCCACGATTTGGCAATTGGCGACCGGTAAGACGGCGAAGAGTCGCGGCAACAACGCGAAAAGCAACCACGCGGAACACTTCATTCTGCAGACTGATTTGCCACGGAAAGAATCAGTGGCTCGACTCTGGGGTCTCGGTTCAACCCTCGCGTGACTTCAATCGGCCACCCTCGACCAGTTTCTCCTCCTAAGGCTGTTTCGAGACCTGCGCGCTTTCACCTGCGGCTTTCTTGCGTCGTTCAAAGTCTCCTGGTAGCCATGGTGTGCGACCTTTATGGTCAACGTGTTTGGTGTTTCACGTTCGAGTCGTCGAAGGACAACGTCGCTTCGATTTTGCTTATAGGAATTTTTCTCTATCTCTCGCCTCTGTTGTCTGTTGCTGGATGTCCTATCTCTATGTGACGGGCATGTGACGACCACGTAACGGCGTCAAAATTTACAGATAGAATTGGTGTTTTAATTCTACGAAATATCGCTTAGCTTTCGTTGTATAATTGAACGATTTACGAGGTTTATTATTCTATGTAGCGACAGGTTTTCACGATTGGGGGCAAAATGTAATAAAGTCTGTGTAACGATAAACGCAGACATTCGACGAGCAACAGCAGTAAACTGACTGCCACCGCTCTCATTCTCCGTCGTCTATATTTTTCTATTTCTATTTCCGTCCAGTTTCTGTTATAGTTTGCGTTCGGAAAAAATCGAGAAGAAAAAGGGAACCTGCTTCTGTCGGTTTGTCCTTAGCATCGTGAAGAAGATCTTTTACGATGGGACCGGGAATTTTGTCAAATTTATGGGAAATTCGAAGCCACGAAAATAAATAAAATATTCGAAGCAGGCTGCTCGTAATAATTGTCAACGAACCTCTGTCTAAATTTTATTTCTTCAGTCGCGTCCACCGAGGCATACATTTGCATAAAAATCCGCGGTATACTCGTTATAACGGTCGCAAGACTTCGATTCGTATCGCGTAATTTCTTATCGTTCCTCTCGTATTGATCGTTTATCGTTCGATATCGTTCATTTGATTTCAATCCGTTTTATCGCACGTACAAACGGACATTTCCAATATCCTTCAATCTCCTTAAGTGAAACCTCAACCGGTTGCGATCGAACGTTATTTACAGAACGAGGATTCACCGGCGATAAAAAGGGGCGAACAGAGACAGAGAATGTGGAAAGAAACGGCGGTTGGAGGAGCGATGGAAAAGGACGGCGGTTAGCGTGACCGCAAAAATCGCAGAAACGAAGAGATAACGAGCGGGGTATTAGACAATATGCGCGTCCGACGTAGGTGAAAGGTGATATTGTAGTTTACGGGCTGATGACGGCCAATTCGACCGACGAATTCAGGTTTGAAACGAGTCAAAGCCACGGGAAGAACAGACAGACCGTCGTACGTGACCCAAAATTTTGTCGTTAACCTTTTATAACGTCGTGTGATTTTTCTTTCTCTCTCTCTATTTTTTTTTTTTTTTATTTTTTTTTATTGAGCTTTCGTTCAGACTGTTACTGCAGCAGGCTCTGTGCAGAGTTAGCTGAACGTAGTACTGCATTACGTAGCTCGTACAAGTACGTTCGTTTGAAACTTGGATATTAGATTTTTCATAAAAATTCACGTACGTGCTCTGAGACTCTAATATCGAGAGAATAATAATATATTGAGCGAGAAAAGGTTTTACGTTGAACGAGGGAAAACCTTGCTATATGATTTTGCTCGTTACGCGTATTATCGTGCATTCTGGCGTCTGTGTCCGTGACTCGATGCAAGAAGTAGCATTGTCGGTACTTACGAAGCTGTGATAGTAGCTTGCTTGAAGATACGTTGGAAAATTCATGTGCAAATAATTCCTGACACCGAAGTTTCTGCTGTCTCGAATTTCTTTTCTGATACAGTACGACGGAGATTCACAGCTTACGCTGTTTGTTTCTTTTGTGTTTTGATTTTGGTATCTTTTCCAAAAAAGTTATTTTATGCAAAATTTTGACACTCGCACGTGCAAATGCCATTATAATCGTTTCTAGATAGAGTTTCAAATTGCCGCTTTTTTATATGGAGTGTACGATTGTTTAGAAGCTCAGTACCGGATTTAACTTATTTTGGCATAAATATGACGTTGGCACAGTTGTTGCACCACAGCCACAGACTCTTCTTAGGGTCTCCTTTTGTTCCTTTAGAACTGTGATATAGTATTATGTGTATTTTAGTAGCGTATTATCCCGACGGCAACAGATAATTCATCCGTAATGCGATTATTGGGTTTGATATTCAAATGAAGGTGGAATAACGTGATTGGAATTTTGTGCAGTATAGGTAGGTAATAATGAGAGTACATGCATAAAGAACATGTACAATTAGGTGTTAGTCTAAGGAAAGTATTATACATTACTAATATACAAGTAGCGTTTTGTTGTTACTGATTATTACTATATTTCCTTAAAATAAAATAATATTTAAATCGGTTATATAGGAAGATTAATAATAAAATTACATGTATGTAGGATATTTTATTATCATATATTATAGTATCATCTCGTTAATTACTGAATTTCCTCAATCTCAGTGATTTTTATGTATAGAATAATTGTTCTCATTATTTCCTATGTTATTCGTTGTTGGTAACAGAATGATAATAACCTTCTTGCTGTTGATTTTTACGATATTTACTAGAATATATCGTAGATAAAATAGTTGCACATATAGGTGCGTGTAAAAGGTAAGCAGGTCTTTCAATCTCTTTCGAAGCACATTGCGTACGAAAGAAAGAAAAAATTGCAAAATTAATTAGGAAAATATTCAAAATTTGCTGTGTGCCGCAAGCAATTGTTCTACATTATGTAAATGCGATCTAATTATGCGGTTATTTCTGAATTATTCAATGCCTCGTTATCTGAAAATGCAGAAACAAATCAGAAATTTGAAATGTTACGCATTATACATATACGCAGAGAAAAAAGTTATTTCGTCAACTTAGGCCAAATAAATCGACCAATATACATGCGCGAATAGTAATTTCGTGGATATACTGGACAAGTGTCCTTGAAAATCGATATCGAGGGTCTTTCGCCCCTGTGGCATGGCAGCACGCTTTCATTAGAATACGATCTTCGTGCTAACGTCCTTAGCTATCGTGACCTTGAACTTCAAATCCATTAAAAAAATCTTCATGAGTATTAAAAAAGTTCTTTCTTTGATTTGCAGTTTAAAACTTGTAAAAAGTTTACGATATCTTTTTCTAATAAATCCATGGATATGACACTTGAAGATCTATGGGCGATTATCGCGTCGATTCTGAGTCATAAAAAGCTTTTATACCCGTACCTTTAATACTATGATATCGATAATGTTGGAGGAATTCAAGTATTTTAAGTTTAGACATAGTATTAGTTCATTGTTAAAGACTTTAAATTAGCTTCTTGTCTTTTCGCTGCATTTAGTAAAGTTGGAGTTTTCATTTTGTCTTTGACACTTCGACGTTGTTGTGCGTTGACCTTGGAATATAAAGGACACGAACCTCTGATCTTGGAAGGTTAAAATTTGTGACCTGAGTTAAAAAATTCAAGATCGATACTGCTTGTATTCGAAAACTACCCGTGGAAACTGAAAGTCAATATCCTTCGAAGTATTTTTGGAAGTTCAAGATTCGAGAATTTCGACGATTGTCTAATTTGAATATAGAACGGCTCCTTTACTTGGAAGTAAATAGCTTACGCTTTATATATAATTTATTTTATTTAAAAAAATTAAATAGAGGAAATTATCTTCCTCTAGCTTCAAATCAAATTTCACGCGAGAAAGGGGAAGAAATGTTCTATTTAAAAAGGTGTGATTTAATTCGATGCTTGAGATCGTTGCGCCACATGTTGTCTCGCGGAAGTTTTTGTAAAGTCCCTTATGGTAAAAGGATTTCTGTACAATCGGTAACGAAGGTGCACTTGTGCAAAAGTAAATACGCGCATGCATATGTATATATACATATATACATATAATCATATATATATATATACACATATATAGTATATAGAGTATATATACATATATACATGTAATCACGCAACATATTAAAATGAAAACACTAAAAAGGTTACCATTCACATAGATTCGTATAATAATACTATACCGCAGAATTTTATGCATTCATGGGAAATTTAAAGGTGCAGAAATGCATAGAACGAATGTAATATGCAAAAATATGTAAAATCTCCAAAGTAGAACACTCGGCATAATTTTTAATAGGTTAAACGAATCTCTATTTAAATTTTACTTCTGTACATGTATTCATAAAAATAGAAATTTGCATAAAAATCCGCAGCCTAATCATAACATACGATGGAATTTTTATATCCTAAAAATAGTACCCAATATGTTAATTGATGTTCTAATTCATTAATAAAGAAAGTATTTAGTCAATATCATAAGATATAGAATTATATGTGGACATAAATTTATAATATTTTTAAATTACGAGCGTCGCGTTAACATTTTATAATTATTCCTCGCGCGCATGCGTATTTGACGAAAACAGAGAGTAGGGGAATAGAATTTAAGGTAAGTGGGGAGAATGCCCATATACTGTTAGTCCATATACGTCTGTTATTCGAATGTTTCGTACCGCGGTCGAGTTTATTCGCGATCCAGCATAACTACTTACTTAACCGAAAATAATGCAGATTACAGGTAACACTTCTTAAGCAATTATATATGTATACTATATAGATGTTTGCAGTATGTTTGATAGCTTCTATGTTTATAAATTAATTCATTTTATATAATCAAGAAAAGTCTTCGAAGACTCCATAAGGATTTTAGATGAAAGATATTTATTACCAATGAAACTTTTCAAAATACCAATCACATAGCTACATTATGCAACGATTAAACATTTAGACGTTAGATTATCTCTATAATTTCGTTTGTTTTAATAAATTATTCAAAAAACCATTGGTAACCAAAATTTAAGCGATTAGGCCGCCATATTGTGACGCCGTGTTGTTCATAGGATTTGGCGGTTTTTCTTCCATTCCCAACACTGCGATGAAAGATATCCTAATTTAATATAGGTTATGACAAAAATTCATAAAACATAACGAATAAATATAATCGTTTT